GTTAATACAATTTCCTCCTCTCCTGTAAGCAAATTGGTTATTATTCAGATATTCTTCAAATGTATCTCTGCAAAATTTTCTGTAAACCGCTTTTTCAAACTGTCTTGCAATGACAGGGGTAATGTTGATACCTCTGTAGTCTGCATATAATGCATATAATGCTATAATGAGATGAAACCATATCTGCATCTCGGGCAAAGGCTTAACTTCCGGCCGGATATCTTACCGAACCATTCAGAGGAGGCCGAATTGCATTGTTCAAAATACTGCTTATCGGCTTGATGAAAAACGATGTCCTGAATATGACAAGAAACTCAGAAAATTTGGAAATGAAGTAGAAATGGATACCCTGTTTATCACAAGAAACTCCAAAAACGATGCCCTGTTCAGCGGATCATCTCCTTATAGTCCATATATAGGAGTACCCCCCGGGTAGCAATTAGTGCTTATGTTAATTTCAATCCCCTTTTTCAAAGCTGTATTATGTTTTGCATGTTGGTCGCCTCCCTTTTACCATGGCATTTCCAGTCACATTCCATTCCATTTTTTATTCTTATTCTCCTTTCTTCCTCTCATTCCCTTTCATTCAATTATTTACCTGGTTCCTGATTGGCTTTGGAGTTGTGTACTAGAAGTGGAATGAAAAATGAAGCTTAGTAAAAAGATAAATATGCTGTGGTTAGGCTGAGAGATGAATAGCGCTGTGCGCGAGTGACATCACAACTCAGACAAACAAACCAAACATCTAATTTTTTTAAAGTTTGATTACTATCATTTTGTTTTTCTATTTCTAAATTTTCCTAAAAAAGTAATTTCTCATCAATGAAATTACGTTTCTCAACCTTCTATCCATTAAGATCGCAGATTAATATTGTTTGTCTGAGTCATGCATTATAATGTCTATTTTCAGATGCGGTGCGTAGGGCCATTACTTTGCAGTTAAAATGGCTCATCAATGAATTCATTATTGGAATATTAGATTGTGATGTGCATATTAAATGTAGAGTTAAATCATTTCTTGCAAATAATTTCCACATGAAACAGGCGAAAGTATTGAGTGTTAGCAGGTCAAAAGTCAGAACAAAACCGGTATTAGAAATAGAGATTTTTAGGCATAATATGGAAGTTCTTGCTCAAAGTTCACATATTTGCAGTAATAACAATTAAGCAAGTTCATGTGCAAATTGCAGATTCTTGTTTTCTGATTGGTCAACTTGTGAAAAAAGTAAAATAGGCAAATGCCTTAAATGAATGTCAATTAAGTTTTGAAAACTTCAATGTTGTTGTTCATTTTTCAAGTGTACAATCAACTCAATATTTGAATAATGGAATCATTGACAAACTGTGGGGAGCTAAGCTTCAGCCTTTTGGACCTCTTTTGGGAAGTTAACTCACCTGCACATCCACTATTAATTTTCAGTATTTACATAGCATTCTGTTGATTCAATGTATTCACAAAACCTATTGTCTTCTATTATTGTTCTATATTTATTATTTATTTATTAGGTTACAGGTAGCCCAAGATCACTGTTAGTGCCTGTTTATATAGTAAATGTATGCGAAATAGTAAAATTCCTTGAAAATAAATAGAAAATGAATCAAACATCACCATTTACCTATATGTCAGTGTTTTATTTCATGCCTTGTGGTTTTGTAGCCGTTTGGTTGCGATTTTAACAGTTCTGGATAATTCCCCATTAAAACAAGATTCTTTTTTTAATGGGGAAATCCAGAAAAACAGGCACTAAAAGTGAGCTTGGGCTACCTGTGATTAGGTGTGACTCATCGTACTATATTTATGAAAATACTACGTCAACTGCTTTCTATGTACAACACCGAAGTTATTATTATTTCATGGGACTTATTGAGTGTGCGGGTTGTTCGGTTGAGCGAGCCAAGTTCGAACCCGAGTCAAGTACGAGTCACGAGTCAACCACGAGTAAGATACTATTTTCCACAAAATGTATTAATTCTTTTCAAAACAAAAATTGAAATTAAGAAATTTTCATATGATTTTTTTTTTAAATACACTGTAAGCCACTTCAGTTGACCATAACACCATTACAAGATGGTTTTCCCCCAGTTAGTATTTATACTGCATAGTAGCTAAAGTCCTAAATTATGTTTCAGTACACTTACTTTTTGATATCTTCTCAGCCACAATAGAAAGTTGACGACAAAAGCACAGTTGGGTTTATGATTTATGTTTGTCATTAAAATTACAATACATTCTTCCACCCTTATTTATTACTACTCCTCCGAAAAACAAGCAATCCTGTAGACTCTTCCACAGTCTCTCGCTCGTCCGTTCCGTCTCCACACTTAGAGACTGTAACGGTACAATGACCGAAAGGACTTATGGGTCCAGAAAACTTGGACCCAGCGTGCTTTGGGAACTAAAATACTCGTCCACAGTCTCTCTCGTTTCTATGACGCGAAATACAAGTCAAAATACATGTATAAATACGTGTATCAAATACAAGTAAGCTATTTTTTTCAACAATAGAACTTGACACTTTCTGTGACATTGACTGCGCATGTACAAGAATATGGTCAGGATGCTTCGACGTCAGATTTCTACGTAATACTATGCTGAATGTTAGAGAAATACTATATCTCCAACGATAATAGATGTAAACAATACAATCTATTTGGGGGAAATTCAATGGAAACAATAAACCAGTAGAAAAAAAATTAGATAGAGCTCTCAAGTTCCTCCAAGTTCCTCCATAAACTCGTAAGTCTGTTCCATCCCGGTATATCTCTTTCGTCGCAAAAATATTACAAAGTTATGATCGCAAGTCCGTTGATTGCCCCCGTGTTATTTTTATGAAGACGTCTCACAGTTTGACGAAAGTTCTTTAACCAGAACGGCAAGTTGGTTGCACATCGTCATTTAATACTGAAGGAAGCTGTCCTTCGATGTTTAGCTGTGAGACTATAAAGCAGCATATTTCATAGTGGGCTTAGAGACGTTCTTGGTAATATAATAGCTCATCAACAATTTGATTCCGTGTATTTTTTTACCTCAGCAATTAGTGAAGAGGTTACTTCAAGAAACTTTGATATTTCTTATGAAAAGCCACTCATTTTGCAGTCAGTAACGACTAGTATACTTTACTTAGTAGTTATT